GATTTTACACAGGTTCAGGCAATGCCTTTTGAGATACAGTCTTGTTTGTTCAGGGCTGGGGGAATGACTGTTTGAGGCTCTGGGACGTGGAAAAATTAGATGAACTTTTTATATTTTGACATTCCTTGAATTGATCGGAGAGGTAATTTTGAATAACAAACCATCGTTATTCCCAGCACAGGCACTTCCTTTCATCCATGTGCCTCTTCTGCCTCCATCTATGCTCTGTTGCTTTGACAATGTACCTGCGGTCCATTCAAAACAGAAGTTTATTGGTTCATGATTCTGGGGTCTGGCAAGTCCAAGGTTGGAAGCTGTAGCTGTGAAGGGTCTCATGAGTTCCAGTGACGAGATGGAAAAGTGGAGGGTCAAGGGGCATGTGTGAAAGGAGACAATATTTGAGGAACAGCTTTGATTTTTGTATCTAAACATGTTCTGCTTTTGTTTTTGTTTTTTTGGTTTTTCAAGACAGGGTTTCTCTGTGTAGCTTTGGAGCCTGTCCTGGAACTAGCTCTGTAGATCATGCTGGCCTTGAACTCACAGAGATCCACCTGCCTCTCCCTCCGGAGTGCTGGGACCAAAGGCATGCACCACCAATGTGGCTCTAAACACGTTCTGAAGGAGACTCTGTGTGTGACCCATAGAAGGCCCAAATGCTGCCACTATGGCTATCGAATTTCAACACAAGTTTCAAAGGGGATAAAGTGTATCAAATAGTCTGAAGGCCTTAGGAGACCTCAGAATAAAAATGATGAAGTAGAGGTGATTGAGCCCTCTTGGGTGTCCTTGGCTTAAGCTCCTATTTCTCTTAACCTCATCCCCAGGGCTACTATGCTCCTTTCTTTGCCTTTAAAACTCACATCCAAGGTCCATTGCAGGATGTGCTCTTGGGGCCACTGTCCTAATTCTCCTACCCAAAAGGGCCTGGGATGCCTAGAGGACACTCACCTGTTGCCCCCTGTGCCATCTGAGTACTTAGTGCAAGGTGACCTCTTCCCTAGAATGTTTGAGGCCGTCCTTTGAGTGGCCTTCCCAAAATCCTCTCCCACCCCAGCATGGCTTCTTATCCTTCCCTGCCTCCTCCCTTTCTGTTCACCTTCCAAGGGCATTTTCTAAGTAAATCATTTGCATGTGAGCCTTCTTCATCTCAGGGTCTGTGTAAGAAAATGCTTTGAGAACAGAATGGGACAAATGCAAGGCACTTACCTTAGTGTGTGGCTACCATGCATGGCTCAAATATCATGTCTAGTTAGGATGTTGCTGTCATTGCCTTTTAGACTCCGAAGAGTGATGCCAAGGTTTGTAGCACTAGACCACCCAGTTGGGCATAGGAAAGAAGCATTTGAGTGAAATGGAAAGAGCATCAAGGAAGCATATTGGAAGTAGTATACTGGAAACCTAACTACCCCTGCTATGTATGTAAATTTATGCAAATGTATGCAAATAGGGTAATAGATGTAAACAGCTTGGCATTGCTGGGAGATAGAATTTCTCCTCATATTCCTTTCCCTTTCCTCTTCTCCCCTCCTACCTCCCCTGCCTCTCCTCTCCTTTCTTTCTTTCATTCTGATTGACAAATCCTTTATTCTAGAAATGAAATATTTCAGCTGTTTTTCCACCTAAAGATATTGCTCAGGTATCTGAAGTGAAGGGGAATCTTGGTAGTGTTGTGGATGGGGTCCAAGATTCAGTGGGAGCAAGGTTGACAGATTAATCAGTGGTCCATACCCCTTGTCTGTAAAAGTGGTGACATTTGCCACCTGGGACAGAACACTAGGAGAAAGAAAAGCTCTTTCTCAAGACAGAATAAGGAGGGTTTTCCAGGCTGTGTGGCAGGTTGTATTTTCTTGAGGTATGTATAGTGACAAAATCAGAAGGCAGTTTTCAGTGTTTGTAGATAAGCTTGTTCAGGAATTATTTTCCCCAGAGCCCCATGGTATAATTGGCAAATAAAAATTGCAATTGCACAGATGTATGGTGTGCAAGATGATATTTCAATACCTGTATGTATTGTAAATGGATTAAAAACTGAGGAATCCTTCAAAGCCAGGAAACCAGTATCCAAGGGACTATGGGAAAGTAGTTGTCTTGATTTCTTGCCTTATCATGAAGGTTAGATGACCTTAAAAAAAAAAAAAAAAAAAAAAAGGCAAGGCCAGACAAGACCAAATAACTCATCCTTATAGCTCATAATATGCACTGTCAGGAAAACCAGTTTAAACTTCTCAGGTGACAGGAAGCTAAACCTAGTTTCTCCTCTTGCTGGTTGGAGGACAGGCTGTCGCCTGGCTGTCCTGGCTGGGTTGGAGTCTGTCAGCTCTGCTGAATCATGTTGTCTTGGAGCAGTGGTAGGCCAGGACTTTCATCATCAAAGACAGAATTTCCATGCAGGCCCATCTGCTCTGGAGGCTGGGATTAGTTATGTCTGAAGAGGGTCCTGGAATCCTTATTCTTAGTTGGATTTTTAACCTAAGGCATGGGGGAAAAGGTTTATTATAAGGACAGATCAGGTAGGGGAAGTGTGAGTGAGTGTGTGTGTGTGTGTGTGTGTGTGTGTGTGTGTTTGAACTGATCAGTATTCCCATCACCAATAAAATAAGAAAGAAAATGGGGGTGAGTTCAGTACTGGTCCACCCAATTGGGTATGACAAAGAAACATTTCAATGAAATCGAAAGAGCATTGGGGAAGTATATTGTTACTATCATGCTCAAGATTCAATCACCTTGGCTTCGCATGAAAATGTATGCAAAATGAGAGCAACAGGAACTAGCAGAATAGAAGTACTTAGAATTTTAGGGGGCAGCAGGAAGCAAAGGATGGACTGCATGTATTGCCATGTGGCTGGGTTTCCAAACCAGAAAAATCATCAAGACAGATGACAGATGGGCTTTGTCGTGGAACACATTGGCAAGATGATTGTGGTGTGAAACACGCGGCAGCGGAGGACACTAGGCGTGTTTTAAGGGCAGAGATTGAGCATTCAGTTATGTGAGAGGGATAAACCTTGTATTAATCAAGACAGACACTGTACCAAGTGCTGAGGAGAGTGGCTGATGCGAGTTTCATGTCCCTGCCAAGAGCCTGGAGGCTTGACAAGAAGAAGAGAGTCCCAAACTGACATGTGTTGGCTCTGTCTGGCCTCACAGTGTTCTCTATCATGTTGTGACACAGCCAGGTGGCCCTCCATGCTAGCAGATGCTGACAACATGTTCCTGGACTTCTCAGGTTCCAGAGGTCCGAGTCAGATAAATTCGTGTTCTTTGTAAGTTGCCCACTTTGTCATCCATAGCCAGTTAGAGCAACAAACACTAAAGTCTTCATTAAAAATTTTGAGATATGTGGTCAGCTTATACATTAGCACTTAGGAAAAGAATACATTCATGGCCTAAGGTGCTTAACTTCCAAACTTTTTGCCATTGGCTCCTGCTCCTCTAGCCTTCTGTTTTTGCTTTTGTGGTGTTGCTTTTTGATAGCTAACTGTAAGTTACAAATACACTCTGCATACACATGTTCTTTATGGCTAACTTTTACCTCAACAACAACTTTTAGGCAACAGTGAAATTCTTTTTTTTTTTTCCTTTATTTTTTTTTCTTTTTTTACATACCAATCCCAGTTCCCTTTCCCTCCCTTCTTCCCTCCCTTCCATGCCCCCTCCCTTCCATTCTGCCCCTACCCCTACTCCACAGGGAGGGTGATGCCTTCCAGGAGGGGCCAAATCTGTCAAGTCATTTGGAGTAGGGACTAGGCCTCTAGCTTAGGGGAATATCCCTCCATGGGGAATGTCTTCCCAAAGTCCTTTTGTGCATCAGTGATACATCCTGGTTCCACTGTCAGAGGTCCCTTAGACTGCCCGGGCCTTCTAGCTGAGACCCATGTTCAGGGGGTCTGAGTCAGTCCCATGCTGGATTCCCAGCTATCAGTCTGGGGGCCCTTTAGCTCCTCCTTGTTCAGGTCAGCTATCTCTGTGGGTTTCTGTAGCCTGGCCTTGTCCTCCCTCTCTGCATCTGTGAAATTCTTTTAGAAAGAAGGGATTATTGCTTCTTGCCTACCAGTGTATGAATGTATGTCTAGTCTGGAAGTATTTCAAGGGAAAGGCTTGTGAGTCTTGAGTTACAGAGAAGCATGCATTTCAGAAACATTACACTTACCAAAATTCCCAAACTTGGGATTCAGCTGGTTTTCCGTCTGGTACAATTCCTTCTGTTTAGCCCACGTCAGAGACAGGAAAGCTGAGTTTGAAATTTTAGGATCATTGAGTTTTTTTTTTTTTTTGCATTTTAGTGTTCACAGAAGGTTTAAATTCCTCCTAGGCCAGTAGCATCTGTGATCTCCAAGATGCTTCTCTAGGGGTGTTGAGATCTAGTATGTGTGACACCCTGCAGGATGTCTGGCAGAACTCTGGCAGGTTTTAACTGCACTGTGTGCCTATGTGCAATGTGCCATGGTTGGGACCTTGTAACAGTGAGGACATATCTCATTGCTGGCCTCCTATGACTCTTTCCCTGGAGTTACAAAGAACTCAGCCACTCTGGGAGAGCTCATTAAAGATCTTACTTTCCTGCAACTTCAGTAACCCTATATCTAGACTCCATAGATGGATCCTTCCAGGGGCTTTCTTCAACTTGCTGCTGAAGGATCATTTCCTCATGGGTCTACCAATCCAGACCTTTTATTTAGTTACTGTCAGAATTTTCCAAACTCTTATTTCAAGCATTCCAATAGAATGGAGATGTCATGATCTCCATTCCTCAAAACCACACAGTTCCAAGTGACATGTGGTATTGTCCAAGAAAGAGCAAAGTGGCACATACCTCATCTATATGTTGGCATGGGGATCTCTACTGAAAATAACTAAACACAAATGACAATTATTAAAGCTTCGTTAATTCAACACAAGCGCCAACAATGAAGCACCTTTGGGTATTGATACCTTTAAAAAGCGATGAAAAGGCACATAAGGATTTTACACAATACACAAAATACATAAAACTGGAGGCATTATTATTTTTTAATAGCTAAACAATTTTTATTGGCGTTTTGTGAAATAAAAAAACAAGAAACAAACCACCATGGTTAAAGGCTATTCCGTGTCAACCAAATGAACCAGCCACTTGGTTTCAGCAGCTGTGAAGATCATAAGTGAATATTATTGCTTATGCCCCATTTCATGTATGTGTCCGTTATGTTTTGGCAAGAATACAATCAGATGGAGCTTTGGTTGTTAAATTCAACTAGGACTACTCACTGAAAACACAACCTCTAGGATTTTAAGGTGGCTATATGCCATTTCTCTCTGAGTCTTGACATATATCCTCTTGTTCTACCTACCCTCTCCTTCCACTAGTCATTTCCCCTATTAACAAAGTGAAGGGGAAAGGCTTTATCAGCCCCCCTCTTCTGCTGTCCCCTCTCTGCCATGAGAGGGCGGTGCTTTCCTGGGTCTTTCTAAGCTTGCATATCTGGTATGTAGCCATGCCAGAAACAAATGCCTATGATCTACACAGATTTTCAAATGCAGATGGCATTTGGAGCTTGGACTCAATTGTCTCCTTTCCATCTTCAGGAAAAAAAAAAAAACCCAAAAAACTAGAAAACAAAAACAAAGTCAATATAGCCCTTAGCATCAGTAAGGTGACCTCCCAACAGGATGAGCCCCAGTGTCCAGCACACAACATCCCGTGGCAGGTGTGGCGCTTTGATGCTCTAATGTTGTGTGGGTGTGTGTGTACATGTGTGTGAGTGAATGTGTGTACTGTGACATTTTAATCTGCTGAGGGGCAATGATGTTGATGCCTCTTGAGAGCTCCCCTGCTCTCCACATTCTGTTCTAACACTGGACTTCCCAAAGGGCACAGGGTTAGAAGTCCCACACAATAGCACCATTTCCTAGGCTCTTGGGATTCGGCTCCTTTCACTGCCGGAGAAAGCAGGACCTGGCCTCCAGCTCTATGCTCTCATGGGCTCTGTGGCACTGCTGTAGGAGCAGGTGGTCTGCCTTGGCCTTCTTTAGTGGTGACCTGAATTTTCCCTGGGAAGAGTTTAAAAAATATGTGTCTTACAAAGTGAAGTTGGCCACAGGTGTGAGGGCCAAGGTGACAGACCTGTAGACAGTGGATGAGCCTTTTCCTCTTCGCTCATCCCTATTTAGGCTACCTAAGGGTTTGCCAGGAATTAGCACAGCAAAATCATCAAACACTGAGAGCCACCAACCCTGACACAGTCATCCAATAGTAGCACTCAAACTCTGTCATCGGTAACAAGGTCCGACAGCCAGTCTTGCCCCTGATAGTACTGGGATTTAATAAGCCCTTCTAGTGATTATGAGGGTTATCCTCTTGAATCTAGACAACTTAAACCGTAGGATATTTGCCCTCACCATAGTTTATCTGGCACAGATAACCATATAATTACTAGCACTTAAATAGAAAAAAATCTTGTAAATAGTTAATTATAACAATGTTGTTCATCAGCATAAAGATTAAACACTTCCACCTTGTACTTTGGGGGGGGGGGTTCAGCCCAATCCTTTACCTCACAACAGAAGGAGAACTCTATAATTATGAGTAATGCTCGGTAGTGGTCATGTGAGGCCAAGAGAATCATGGGGCAAGTTCGCGGTCAATGTGTGGCCTATGAAATAAAGTAATAAACAGTGTTGTCATTTCAAAGAAATACAAGAGACCATATAAAAATATTTTCCAATCCGGAATCTGAAACATGAAAGCTGGATTTGTTTGTCTTTGTATAAAAAGGAACAAAATGATGGACTAAAGTGTATTAAGCTTCCCAACCAAAAAAAAAAAAAAAAAAAAGAGTGGTGGTGGTAATGGGTTGAATGAAGGAATGCGGTGAGTCAGCCAGCTTCCTTTTATGTCCAGGCTTGTGGATGGCCAGCTTGTGCTTTGACCCTGATGGAGATAAATGCACACAAGTAGGAAAGCCAGCGCCCCAGACCGTCACTGTGCCAATGGCTAAGGAGACTGGTTTTTACAGTAGAGCTGTCAACGGTGAGGTGACCGAGCAGATGACTGTCCCCCTCTCTGCCCTTCAGGCGACAGCTGGGGATGAGTGCCAGAAACACCACTTTCTCCTGGAATAGTGTTTCTTCAGCGCCAGGTCCTCTTTCTCTCGCTCCCTCTTCACACGCTGGTAGTGGTCTTCCTCCTTCAGGTACCACACGGGGGGCCATCGGTGCCTCTCAAAGTACTCCTGGTTGTCTGTGGGGGTGGGAAAGGAAAGACACTGTCTTGTTGATTCCTGCTGCCTGCCCGAAGGCTGTCCTGGATGCTTGGTCCTGTCACATTCCTCATAAGCCTATTGTCCTGTTCCTCAAAAGCCTACTAATACCCTGATGGGGCAAGGAGCTGTGAGCAGGTCTGTCTGCGGATGGTGACATCCCAGACTGAGATGTAGAATCTGTCCTAGGCACAGAGACCCTAAACCACTTGGTTTTCTCCAGAACTGCAGATCGACCTTGGGTGCCCATCCATAAATGAGGGGAGACCAATTGCCAGTTGCCTTAGCATGCTTTGCAACAGGGCACCCTTAATCCCAGTCTCTCCCCTATTCTCCATGTAAGACATCCTGCAAAGAGAGCCCCCAAAATAGAATTCTCTGGGTCGTGTCACTTGAATGTGACACAGAGAGACTGACCACACATTGCCCACTGAGTCTGGTCCCTCCCTAGGGCTTGGGAAGGGTAAGGGATTGGATGGCAGGGAGCTTGCATGCATACTCTTGACGCTTACCTGCTGACTTAGATTTTATTTCCTTTCGGAACTTGGAACAGACACTGTTGTAGTTGGTACAGATGTGATGTAAACACCAGGCAGCTAGCTGGTTGGCATTGTGAAACTGCAGGAAGGGGATCAGAGTGGGGTCAGGCTCTGTTTGCTAAAGCAAGGCAATGGGCCAGTGGCATGGCTCAGCAGGTAAAAGAAATGCTTGCTTCCAAAGCCTGATACCTGAGTTTGAACTCTAGGACTCCATGGAGGACAGAAAGGCCTGACCATGGCAATACTTCTCTCTCTCTCTCTCTTTCTCTCTCTCTCTCTCTCTCTCTCTCTCTCTCACACACACACACACACACACACACGCATGCACGCAATAAATGTTACAGAAATTTAAAGCAAAGCCGGGCGTTGGTGGTGCACGCATTTAGTTCCAGTACTCGGGAGGCAGAGGCAGGCGGATCTCTGTGAGTTTGAGGCCAGCCTGGTCTACAGAGCTAGTCCCAGGACAGGCTCCAAAGCAATACTGAGAAACCCTGTCTCCAAAAACAAAACAAAACAAAACAATTAAAGCAAGTCTACAAAGAAATGAGAACCACTGTGAGGGTGAGAGAGGGAGTGAAGAGGAATACAAGGCTTGTAGAACTAATACAAGTTCTTGCCTTGACCTCAGGGTTCTGACTTTGACTGTGGCTCTGATGTCAGCCAAGCAGTGTTCATGTACCCTCCCTCACTGCCTATTGAGATAGATGGTCCCTAAAATAAACACCATATCACATTTTTTTTTTTTTTAAAGTATGCCTGGCTGTCCTGCCCTGCCTGTCCTCTGGCCGTCTGGTAATAGGTGGCCATGCACGCCCTCTGACAGAATGATGCCATCTCTCTTTTAGGAGCCCTAGCAACAGATACTCCCATGTCACATGTCTGAGCTCGGCTTGCTGGGGCCAAAGATCGAAAGGCAAGAAGGCAGCGTGCCACAGCTGTCCTGTACCTACCCTCTGGTTATGTAAGAGCAAGCATGTGGATGAGGCGGGAGGGGCTGAATGCTCCCTCAAGCTTTTCTGAGCAGATGCCTGGGGAGGTGGCAGCTGAGGTTGAAACGATGGCCTGATGTCCCCAAACCAGATGGTCTATACTCCCCCATGTCTTCTGACCTGGCAGGACACACAACCTTGCTCTTTTCCACTCATCCTGTGTATTTTCTTTAGCTAAATGGGGAACCTGGGAGTGACAGTGTGGTTCTTCCGAGGCTTGGCTCTTTGTCCTTTAAAAGCCACTTCATGGAGACAAGAACCCATAACCTCAATCATGGAAGTGGTTGGAGGCTGGTCCTTCCAGCTTTTTCTTCATTTTAAGTTTAACTCTGAACATAAATTTGGGGCAGTGGGGTACTGGGTAGGGGTGGGGGCTTTTACCAGCTCAGGGAACTAACTGGCTGCATGACTTGCTTCCATGATTTCGGTTCAGTGACTCAGTCTTGATGTTCAGACTGGCCACAGTGGGAGATTTACACCATGGAAATTAACAAAGGCAACAAACAGATCAGGGGTCCAATATATGTACAGCCCTTCTTGGGTTGAAGGCTAACAGGTGGGCTAAGACACAGATACAATGCTAACTCCCTACCAGGGTCTGTCTCAGCTTAGCAGTGATCATACCACAGCCTGTCATGCAAGTGCAGGAAGACAGGGAGGAACCAGGAGGAAAAGTTTGCATCTTTACTTCCAGTGAATTGTCCAGTAGAGCATTCTGAGTCATTTCAATTTCTTCTATGCAGGATATGCATGGATAGAGTCCAGTCAAAAATTATCCCTCTTGGGGCCTGGAGAGATGGCTCAGCAGTTAAGAGCACTGGCTGCTCTTCGAGAGGACCTGAGTTCAATTCCTAGCACCCACATGGTGGCTTACAACCACCTATAATGGAATCTGATGCCCTCTTCTGGCATAAAGGTGCACATGCAGACAGACCACTTATATATATAAATACATCTTTAAAAAAAAAAAAATATCCCTCAAATTAGGGAAAGGGTGTCTCCAAAACCTCCAGTTTCAAATTTTGGACAACTAGTTCTGATGAGGCCTTGAAGCTTCTACTGTAATGCACACCCACCCTCAGCTTCCAGTCTCCATGGTTGGCCTTTTAGGTTGGGTTTTAGGGATTTACGTTCTCATGTCCCTGTGACTGTGGAGAGTCTGCTGCTTGGTTATATTCAAGGGTAGTGCCTGAGACTTGGGAATCACACAACAAATGTTTGTCAAGTCAGAGGGAATTGACTGTTCCAAGTCCTGGTCCACCTTCTCCCTGTGAACCGAGCCATTGCCTATGGCCACACTTGGCTGTGCTGAGCAACAGCTGCTATAGCTTCACTGTCCTCCTCCTGAGGCTACCTCCTCTCCTGTGATTGGGCAATCAATGTCTACTTAAATTGCCTGACCTAATGCTTAGCTATCTATCACTGTCCTAACTGAGAGAGAACAAAGACAAACTCAACAGACAGAAGAAAAAAGAAAAAAATGAGTTCAGAACTTATTTCTCATCCCCTGCCTCTGGAGTATAAACTACTGTTCATAACTCCATGCTGGGACTAGATCATTCTGCCTATATACTCTACAATGTTAGGGAACTTCCATCTTCAGGGCTTTTTCTTGAACATTCTTTCTCCCTTGTATCTCAATCTGTAAGGTTCGGAGGTCAAGTTTTGCCATCCTTGTGTCTCATGGATGAGGAAAATGAGGCAGAGTTTATCTTTGTTCCTAAACCTTTGGTTGGATTTTACTCTCCTATGGAATAAGTGTGTATGTGTGTGTGATGGGGGGGAGTGTATCTGTGTGTGTGGGTATGTGTGTGTGTCTACATACATGTACAAATGTTTGTGTAGGTATGCTGGATATTGACACTAACAAAACTGATCTTTAGAAAACTCCAGGGGACTTTCAGTAAACTATTCATTTACAGCGGGGACCTACAAAGCTTTATGGAATAGTCTAGAAATTGTTCTTGGCCAAACACTTATCCAAAAACTCAAAGAAGAAAGAGAGGCAACATTTCTTTCTAATCCAGTGGTTCTCTGGCATATGAAACCACTGCCCCAGGAGGGTGAGGCTGGTAGGTATTGGGGGCAGGGGTTCTTATTCTTTCAAAGGCTGCCCGGCAGGTAGAGTGCTGACTGAAATGTAAAACTCTCTGATCTTTTCAGTACAAAGGTATACCTCTGTGACATCTTAATTTGGACAGATCAGATGTGACAGTGGGGTGTTTATATCAGTGTTAAAATGGGCGCGTGGGATGGAAGGCCCACAAACCTACCTGTGCCAATTCCAGGTAAGACAACACCTCACCGTCGATGCTCGCTCCACTCACAGCGGCTTTGGTGAGCTCCTGGACCGCGTGCTGCTCTGGGAAAGAGAGGGGGTGGGACAGGGTTAAACTGCCCACCCCAAGCCAGACACCTGGCTTGGAGGGGCTGGTCTAGGACCACTTGAGAAAAGAGGAGATAGTGGACACAGTTCTGGGCAGACACTGGAAATGAATCCTGGGCTGATTCTGATGGGTGTGCCTCTCAGTATCCAACCCAGGCACCCATGTTCCTAGGGCTCTGATCTGTGCTTTTAGAACACCAGAATTCTCTAGACCTTCATGACCCCACCTAGGATGATAACCATGGGCTGTATGTGACTACTTAAACTCCGATAATTAATACTTAGCTCAGTGGCCACAACAGCCCTGGTAAGTAAGTGTTCAATAACCATATATGCCTACCCCAACTTGGCACGTGCATACACAGAACACATCCAGTGCTGGCAGATGGTTCTGCTAGATAGTGTGGTTATGCCAAGTCTAGCATGTGTATGGGGTCCTTAAGTCCAGCACAGTCCTGTTTGAGTATGTCTTCAAGGCTCATTGTCTTTTGGGAGCAAAGACTGAATGACAGATGACCAAGTCTACTTGGGGAATTAAAATTGAGGATGTAGCTGTGTTGGTAGAGTGCTTGCTTAACGTGCCTGACTTGGCTGCCCCCCCCCCCCAGCACTGCATATACTAGGTATGGTGATCCACATCAGTAATCCCATCCCTTGGGAAGTGGAGATAGCAGAATCAGAAGTTCAAGGGTTTCCTCAGCTACACAGTGAGTTTGCATCCCCCCCCCAAAAAAAAATTAAATGTGGACACACATATGTCACTCAGCAGTTACAAACGGATCACCCAAGGGCCAATCTCTTGGAATATGAAGACAGGGAAGAGTAGTGGGCCTAGGTAACAAGGCCCCGGTTTGAGAGAGCTCTGTCTACTGAAGAGCACATGCCCAGTTCCTGCTGTTGGAGTGAACATTGTGGTTCTGAGGCTGGGGGGAGCTGTTTCTTGCCTCTGTTTGGGCAGTCTCCAGCCTCAGGTGAATAAGAATGTATGAAGTCAATGGTGGCAGCATCTGGGGTGTTATTGTGGCTCCCCACATTTTAGGACGACCACTTTTGGTTTGTGATTGGGATTCTCTTTACTTCGATTGTGAGGTGTTTTTGTTTTTAAATGAATTGGAAATTCATGATCATCTGGCCATAGGCCAGTTCATTAGGTTTTTGTTTGTTTGTGCTTTTTTAAAGCTGTCTTTTCTCTTATTTTATATATACAGTGTTCTACCTGAATATATGCCTGCAGGCCAGGAGAAGGCACCAGATCTCATTATAGATGGTTTGTGAGCCACTATGTGGTTGCTGAGAATTGAACTCAGGACCTCTAGAAGAACAGCCAGTGCTCCTAACCACTGAGCCATCTCTCCAGCCACAAGCCCAGTTCATTGTTTTCCCTATCGTATACACCTTTGTGCCCCTGTGCCCCATTCTGGTTATTCTTATGCTGTTTCAAACTTTTTAATTGTTATTAAATGATGGAATATGATTGGGCCTGGGCATATAAAGATAATGAGATTAATAGGTAAATATTTTGTGTATCCTGACTGCCCCACTGGCAGGCTTATACTCCCTGCTGAGTGTCTCTCTCCAAGCCTTTCAACCCCTTGAGACATAACAACATCAAAACCAAGCTTACCAAGGCTTCTAAAGGCTCAAGTGAGAAAAAGGAAGAACCACAAATCTCTCATTTTAATCCCAAAGATAGACATGATTAAGCTTAGTAAAGAAGATATATAGGAAGCCAGGATATCCCCAAAGCTAGCCGGCCAGGTTGTGAATACAGAGGTAAGCTCTTGAAGGGACTGAAGAGGGACTCACACATAAGACAGTGGAATAGCTTTGCTGATATCTGGAGAAAGTCTCAGGTCTGAATAGAAGAGCTGCATGCCCCTCAAGCCCCACCCACTCCGGAGCAAGGCCAACTCCCTTCAGTTCTACAAAGGCGGAGACAAACCAGCATAGGCGGGATTGTGGGGTTTGAGGAAAGATACTGTCCACCACAATAGATGAATGGAGGCAACACAGTAAGTGCTAATGAGGAGATATAAGGAGTCACCTGGAAGTTCCAGCAGAGGTCACTGATGAAGGCTCCCTAAGTGAGACACACTCAGCAGGGAAAGAACAGCCCTGTACTGAAGGAGGCACCACTAGAGGCCTGCCCACACAGCTAGAGAAGTCCTCCTGGCCAGCTTCAAAGTATCAAAGGACAGCCCAACCATCTTGCTGGGGACTGAGGCAGCTGGTGGCTTTAGGCTGAAGTGGATCTCATTTCCGACTGAGTTTTGAGGCCCAGTTCTTCTAAGTTCCCTAAACAGAGCAGTGAAGCTGGAGGGTAGAGCGTTTGGTCACAGACTAGTGTCTTGACTATTGGAAGCTCATGGTCCAAGCTTCATAGTAAAAACAATGTGACAAGAAGCAGTAAGGAAGAGGGGGTGAGTTTATCTGGCTTACAATCCCAAGTCACACTCCATTATTTCTGGAAAGTCAAGGCAAAACTCAAGCAACCGGTCATAATACATACTAAAGACAATGGACTTTGAACATTACCTATAAAGTCTCTGGTAAATGGGTCATAGGGGACTGGGAGGGGGGAAGGGAGCTCATTGAAAACCCTTGCCACACAAGCATGAGAATTAGAGTTTGGGTCCCCAGAATCCTTGAAGGAGCCAGGTTGTATGGCAGCTACCTCTCATCTGAGCATTGGGAGACAGAGATAAGACATCCCTGGGGCCAGATGGCTAGCTGGCCTCCTAGAACAGGTGAGACCCAGGTTCAGTGAGCCTCTAAAATGGAGAATTATCAATTAAGGTGCCTGACATCAACATTGGACCTCCACATACATGAGCATACACGTGGATGAGCATCCACATACAGGCGCGGCCACGTACATGCATACCTGTAGGTGTACTGCACATGCATATAGAAAGCACAAGAACTGGTGGGGCTGAGGGGAACTGACTTCAATCTTGAGAGAAATTCTGCTGTGGGAAAATTACCATCTGACAGAATCTCCATGCTACCAAGTGACCTTCTGTGAAAAGAGGGGTCAGCCAACGAGCCAAATGTCACTGTCACTTGACCAGAAAAAGCTGCATCAGCTGCTGTGACCTTTAGTCCCACCATCTTGATCAACCACATCCAGCAGGAGCAAGGCTTGAAGACTACATTATAGCTAGAGGCTGAGAGGGTGGGTTGGCTTTGCTTTTATTTTTTAAAACCATCTTTATTTTTTGGTTAAAGTTTCTCCATTGTCTAGAGCTAATGCTATTTTTGTACTTAACAGACTGTAGCTTGGAGTCAATGTAATTTTAATAATTCACTGAGATACCAGGAATTTCATGCCACAGCGGCCTGGGGCTGATCCTGCACTGTCTGAGGTGTGCCTACCCTGTCCAGGCATGCCCATCTTCTACCTGGATCTGTGTTCTTGAACCCACACACTTGTTTGCGCAAGCCAACACTTTCTTTGATGCAGCATTCCTCAGCTGGACAGATTCACAGAACTACTTAGAGCTGAATTTCCCAGAGAAGTCATCTGGGTTCTCTAAGTAGCAGCAAATGTGAAGGTGAATGGGACTGTCAAGACAGGATCTGTCTAGAATCACTGTGGAAACACACCCCTACATTGTATCTGGAAGGATGGTTTTGGAAAGGTTTGATCATGGTGGGAAGACCCAGCCAGAGTGTGGTGGTGCCAGCCAAGGGGCTGAGTTCCCAGACTGAATAAAAATGAGAAAAATACATCCCTACCATTCATTTGTTTCTGGGATGCTGGTGCAATGTGACCAGCTGCCTCCTACCCCTGCTGCCACACCTGCTCTGCAGTGGTGAACTGTGCCCTTGGTCCTGGCCACAACAGACTCTTCCTTCCCTTCCTTCCTTCTCCCTTCTTCCTTCCCTTCCTTCCTTCCTTCCCTTCATTCCTTCCTTCCTCCCTCCCTCCCTCCCTCCCTTCCTTCCTTCCTTTCTTTTTGGCTTTTTGTTTGTTTTTCAAGACAGGATTTCTCTGGGTAGCCCCGTCTGTCTGGGAACTTGCTTTGTAGACCAAGCTGACTTTGAACTCAAGTCGACCCACTGGCCTCTGCCTCCTGAATGCTGGGACTAAAGCTGTGCTCCATCATGCTTGGGTGCAAATTCTTTCTTTTAAATTGGAGAAGAAGCAAGAAAAAAAAGAGAACTCTATTTCCAGGTAATTTGTGTGTAGGAGGGCAGAGAAATATTGAAAGTCATTGCTGAGGTATAGTACACACTGAATGGGCTGGCTTGTTCTCTGCTCATTTTACTGACTCAGTTACTCAGTCAGTTTTGAAGGAAAGCCTGATGTGCACAGATAGTTAGTTCTCCCAGTATATGAGGAAGGTCAGTAAATGACAGTCTCTCTATTTTCACTGGAATCAGGAATCAAGCAAATATAGGGATAAGCACCCAGCCTGCTGACTGACACCTCTAGGGAAGAATGCACATTTTAAAGTAAGGGATTTAAATGCATATATTCGACCCAGACTCGCTCCAGTTTACCAACTGAACAAATGTAGAAGTTACAGAAAAGACTTCTGAAGTTAACCCCTTCCAAAATGAATTTGACAATGTCAGAACATTTTCAAAAACGGCTTTAAGAAAAAGAAAAAGCCAGGTGGTAATGGCACACACCTTTAATACTAGTGCCTGGGGACAGAGGCAGGAGGATCTCTGTGAGTCTGAGGCCAGCCTAGTCTACAGAGTGAGTTCTAGAATAACCAGGGCTACACACAGAAAAACCTGTCTCAGAGAGAGAGAGAGAGAGAGAGAGAGAGAGAGAGAGAGAGAGAGAGAGAGAGAGAGAGAGAGAGAGAGAGAGAGGAAGAAAGAAAGAAAGAAAGAAAGAAAGAGAGAGGGGGAAAAGAAAAACTGCTCTAAACCAAACACACTGTGCTTTCTGTATGGCATCCAGTGTTCTACAGACTTGATATATTTGCCACAGTCAATCTCACAGCTTGATGACAGCTAATGTACCCATTTTAAAGAGGGAGAAGACTGAGATACAGAGCTCAAGTCACGCAAAGGACAAGTCATCTAGCAGGGAGGCAAAGGGGCCAGGATGGGGCCCTGAGGGAGCTGAATCCTTTACTCTCTGCCACTCTGTAAATGTCCTTCCTCAGAAGCTACACCTGTGCACAGCACTTGTCCTGGATTAATGCTGACCCACTAGCGTGATTTTAAATGTTGTGGGCCACATAAGGTTCAGCGTGTACCTCCAAAGCCAGGTGTCCATCATGGTACATGTACATTTTCATTGCCTCACGGGGCCTATCACAGAGGAGTGTAAGAGATACTCCTTGCATCAAATTAGGCTGACTGAGACTGGGCTGGCTTCTCCCACCTACCTGGGACTGTTCTGTTTGGAGAGATAGAAATCAGAGTCTGATTCGATTCTTGGCAATTTTGTATTTTCTTTAAGTGTGATTTTTGATCAGCGTGGCTATCAGACACAAAGTCACCAACCCAACCTTACCTACGAGTGCAACCAAGTGCGGCAGGCAAAATCTGTTTGCCAAGGCAATTAACTCCAGGGGGTCCAGGTCCAAGTTGGGTGACAACTGCTTGGTGTAGAGGTATTCCAACACCGCCTGCATCGACATCTTGTTTATATTGGGGAGATGCACCTGCAACAGTGTAGAGAAGGCTCAGTGCTGCAGCAGGGACTGGGGATCACGCCCCTTCAGGCTATGGGGCTTATAAGTAAGCATCCTGACCATGTGACCTGACGCCGGACAACGGCAGGCATAGCTCTGAGGCTGTGCTGAGAGGGTGTCCCGTATTTATGGCTGGAAACCTAACAGTTTGATTTGTAGGTGACAAGAGTGTTGCTACCTGACAGATCCTGGTGTGGAATTTTTTTTAAAAATGGCTATTTGGGCCCATAAATCAGACAAATGGGTCATAAATGTGTTATGACATTATGGGCCCTGCCTGCCAAGAACCTGAAGATACTCCACTGCGGAGTGAGAAATCATCTGGCAATGTGACATGTATGGGGAGCTGTTAGCTATACTGCTACAGACATGACAGAGCCCCCCTCTCAAGTGGCCAGACACAGGAGGAATGACCACACCGGCTGCCACAGTGACACTCTGCATGCTGATGACCATCCAGCGTTTGCCAGCACTGTGTCTATACTTCGGTCTGTTCTCCCAAAATCACATGGACCCAGAACTACAGATATATCACTGGGTTTCTGCAGATCTAGAGCAGCCAAAGGACCCCTGGCCTGGTACACCCGGAGACACAGTTTCGGTTGGGTGGGGGTCACGATCAACTGTAGGATGCCCACAGCCTCTGTCCCCCATGTCTGGAGCTTTCATTTACAACACATTACACTCTCTAAGAGGCCAGAGGATGACTTGATACCTCAGCCCTATATGGAAGAGGGAGACAAGGATTGGGGTATAGGGAATACACACTGTATTTCAGATCTTTACTAACTCCTTGTGGTGGCTTAAACAAAAGTGGATCCCGCAGGCTCACAAGGACTAGCACTGTTAGAAGATATGACCTTGTTGGAGTAGGTGTGGCCTTATTGGAAGAGTGTGTCACTGGGGACTGGTTTTGAGGTTTCAGAAGCTCAAGCCCTGCCTAGTGGCTCACTCTCTCTTCTTGATGCCTGCGGATCAAGATGCAGAAGTCTCAGCTACCTCCCCAGCACTGTGTCTGCCTGCATGCTGCCATACTTTCCTCTGTGACGATAATGGACTAAACCTCTGAACTGTAAGCCACCCCCGATTAAATGTTTTCCTTCATAAGAAGTACGGTGGCCATGGTGTCTCATCACAGCAGTAGAGACCTGAACAAAGACACTCCACAGGGTGGGTACACAAGGGGTACAGAATGGCATCCCTTGATTTTTAGACTGGAATGTCACTTTGATAGAAGCTTCCATGCCCTGCTTTTCCACACATACCGTCTAATGGGACTCTTACACCTGTCCTAAGAAGGAGAGACTATTAATTTTGCTATTTTACTGACAAGGATATAGCAGTCAAAGAGGCTAAGCTTTGCGTCCAAGGTGGTAGGGTTAGTCAGCAATGACTGGGATTTAAACCCAGGGAGTGCAATTCTGAAGTCATGCGCTGTGATGTTGTGTGTGTAGCCTGGAGTCTCCTTATGCTGATGTTCTGGGTTGCAGAGCAATAAAGCCTCAGATTTCATAAGTAGTTCTGGGAACCAAAGTTCTAATTTGAAAGGATGAACTGTTATAGACTTTTAGTTTGGTTTTTTCAAGACAGGGTTTCTCTGTATTGCTTTGGATCCTGTCCTGGAACTTGCTTTGGAGATCTGCCTGCCTCTGCTTCCCAAGTGCTGGGACTAAAGGCATGTACCACCAACACCCAGCTGAGTTATAGACTTCTTAACAAAACAGAATATAGCATATAAAAATACACGGTACCAAATATACATATACATGTGTGATACACACACACACAAAAGTGTGTGTGTGTGTGTATATATATATATATATATATATATATATATATATAATTTGTGTATATCTTTATGTGTATATGTATTACGTAGGGTTCCATCTCTATATATACATGATTACATCTCTGTAGGATTAGTCACTTCATATATAAACACATATAAGTAGAGGCTGCTACAAATGCACCTATACATGCACATCTGTATTTCCTTCATGTGGGCTCATCAATGAACTTTCCAAAATAAAGCTACTGCCATTTTTGATGTTATTGTCCTGGTAGTCACCGGCCACAACAGAGAAGGAACATACTTCTAAGGAGAATTATTCTTCAACATGTCATGAGGAAGGCCCCCAAGAAGCTCCTAGAATTATTGAGCAGTTTATCCTCCAGCCCTCAGACACAGGCATGGAAAACAACGATGACTTTGGTAAATAAGCATCCGGGTTGTTATTATTGACCATCATTTCAAGTTGCCAGGACAGCCTCTGTGGTGACGGAATGTGAGGACTCAAAACTGATACTATGATCTCAAAATAGCACCAGGCTAAGACTGTCATTTGCTGCTGACACTTCCATCTCTCCTGTCCCTTTGGCTTCCAGGGACACACTGTAACAACACAAGCTGGTTCATCTGTGATGTGTCAACCTTATGACATTGCTCACTCCCTTCGCCCAGCTATGTCAGTCACATAGTAATAATTTCTCTCACGGTGTGTCTAACCTCGGGCACACTTGCATCCACATACATGTTTAAAGGCATATGCATTTATACTGAGTAACCTGACAGAAGCCACAGGCCCCTTTATGTGTGAGACTTCCTCTCTAGGATGGTGCTTGGATTCATTGGGATTTTTTTTTTTTTTTTTTGGATATGTGGGATATTTTTTAGGTATTTGAATGCTAAGGTGCAAAACTTTCATATTTAACCTATTTTGTAGTAGTAAGAGCATCCATGCTTTATAAAATATTAAGAGCTATAATTGCAGATGTCAGGGCAGAGAGCGTGTGCTGTCTCAGCTATGGGGATCTGCTCTTTCAGAAATGGAGGTTTGCAGTGTGTCTTGAGGGGACAGGATAAGAATGTGTGGGCTGGCCCAGGGCCACACCAGTAAGTACTGTGTGACCCTCAGCAAGTCACCCACTCTCTCTGACCCTCAGGTTCCTGATCTTCGACTCAGGAAGAATGTGGGAAGCTTGCCAAAGTTACTTCTTCACTGAGACTGGGTTTTGAAGCCTCTCAGGTTACCCTGGCCGTGTATGATAAGAGCGCTTTCCAGGCTGTTCAGCAAAGATGAAATGGTCATTGGAAATACAGATGTGACAAGGGATATCCTAAGTAGAAAGGAATTGTTTCTGGGAATAGGAGATGAGAGTTCAGTGAACATGGTCCTGGTTCCCAGCATTCCTGGTGTCCTCAGAGGGCTCTGATATATGTAATCACCAGAGGCCAGCTGCTTCCCTTTTGCTAATATGACGTCAAAACCTTTGAAGTGATGACTCATTTTGGCAGGTCATCTTAGGGGCCCCTTAGGGGCAATCAACAAATGAGAAGAAACACAAAACACTTTCATAACATGCATTTCCCCCTCACTGCTGATTGCTTTTTATAAAGCAAAACAAAATCCAAATCCGGTTTCTGTGATCTCCTATAATTAACCATCTGACAATGGGGAGATCTACGTACAGCCCTTGAAAATCACCCAGGAGCTGAGCAACAAGACATGGAACACGATGTCTATAACCTACTTACTCAAAGCAACTCCAGAAATGCTACCCCCATCAATGCCTGCATTCCTCTTTAGCTGGTTTAACATTGTCATTACAGAGATTAGCTCAGACCATTATATTAGGCTTGTAATTAGAGCCTGTCTCACACAGAGTGAGCAAGTATCCTAGAGCTAGCCCACCTCTTACCCTAACCTGGCAAGCATTTGAAGTGAACCGCTTGCCGAGTGCCTCAGTGGGAACGAATGAGGATTACTGCTGCATTAAAAATAATGAAGAAAAAAGTAAAACTGAAATGTCTTCTATATTAAATGATAAAATTTAACCCAACATTCATGGCTCACTGTCCTCTTTTCTAGATAGATGTGTATAAGGGTCCTCTCTGTACCATGAAAAAAGAATGGGTTGAATTTCCAGGGGTAACTCAGAGTTCCCCAATACAAAACAGATGTAAAAGATGACTGAGAAGGGCTGGAAAGACAGCTCAATGGTCAAGAGCACTGGCTGCTCTTGCAGAGGACTGGAGTTCAATTCCCAGCACCCATGCAATGGCTGACACCAGTTCCAGGGGACCGACATTCTCTTCTGACCTCTTCTGGCATTGCACACAGGTAGACATCACATGCAAGCAAAACACCCACATACAAAAAATAAAAATAAATCTTAAAAAACAATCAACAACTTTAAAAAGATGACCTAGAAAGGCTAATCCCCAAGAACAAGAATGTGGCAAAGGACAAAGTTCTTCCTGGAGGAATTCATGACCATTTCACAAGGCTGACTTCTGTTTGTGACCGATGCCACCTCCCTGGCTTAGATTAGAAGATGGGCTGGCAGCTTCTTCATTTTGTTTTGTTTTGTTTTTAAATATAGGTGGTCCCTGGCCACCGTGGGACTTGCTCTGTGGAGCAGACCAGCCTTGAACTCAACGGAGATCTGCCTGCTTCTGCCTCCCCAGTGCTGGGGTTAATGGTGTGCACTACCACTGCCCAGCGGCTGGCAGATTCTTAATCTAGAGCTATTATGGTACAAGCAACCTTATTCCCAGTGAGAAAATTTAATGAGGGTGATATTTGCTGGGCATTATTATCTATGCCCCAGGCAGGGTACGTGCGCGTCCATGCTTTGGCTGCCCTCGGGAGAACATTTGCCTGTCGTTTTCACTTAATAGATGAGGAAGTAGGTTTAGAGAAGGCTGGGCCACTGGCCCCAGGTCACAGTCTCACTGAGATAAAAGTTCACCGACACCTCTTATGGTCTGTCTTAGAAATAGAGAAAAAGGACAGGAAATGAAAATGTCAGCAGTGGATGGCATTGCTAGGGCTCGTGGAATTTTGGTGACTTGGTTAGTGTTTTTTTTTTTTTTTTTTTTTTTTTTTTTTAATTCCCAGCGGCTGCAATCTCTGCCTGCATTAGTCTTACTTCAGTTCTCAGAGGGGAGGGCTAGGATTTAGGTTCCTTCCAGAACCTTGTTGAACAAGTGGCCACTTCCAGTGGGTCAGTCAGCATATAAGGCATGTGTATGCTCACACATGCGGCTGCTGGGTCTTTGTTTTGGTTACCTCTGCTGCACATGTTAATCTGGAGAGATTAGAGGTCCCTTCTGTGAAGGGATAAAGGAGATTAGAGTCAGCGCTGACACTGTGGCTCTGTTGCCTGGGGTCCTGACCTTGATTGTTAGGCTCAACTCAACCAGCAGGTGTAGTGGGGCTAGAAAGCTGAGGGGCACACACCAGAAAATGCCAACCACAGGCTGTCAGGTGGAGGGGAGCTCCCCTAATCTTCCCTGTAAGAAGGCAAGACTATCATTAGCCATCAGTGCCAACCAGTCTACGGTGGCTGACATGGACTAAATGCTCGGGGTTATTATTGAGTGCTAGACTGTGCAAGACTCGGGAAGCAGAAGTCACTTGTTCCAGGCCATCCAGTCGGTGTGTGTGTGTGTGTGTGTGTGTGTGTGTGTGTGTGTGTGTGTGTGAAGAGTTATGCTTTGGGTCACAGGGACCCTTTTCTGTGTAGCCTCCCTGTATTGGGAAATCTTCCTTTAAGCTTCCCAAACGTTGAGCACACAGGAGGGAGACTTAGCAAATCAAAGAACTTCCTGATCTCCTAAGGTTCCAGAAGAGGCTGCTGGGTTAATTCTGAAGTCTTCTGCCCAAAGGGCAGGGCTCTGTTTTCTGGAGTCTGATTAAGCAGCAGCTGTGTTTTTTTCTGGAAGCAGGAGGATGGCCCAATGACCTTTTCAGGGCCCCAGCCATTCCTGGCTTGTGATTCTAGGATTCTGTTTCCCTACTTGTAGATGTAAATGAAGGCTCCTGGGGCACCGTGGGAGTGCTCCCCTGGGAGTACCCCTTTTGAAAAGTTAGCCTTTGTTTTTAGTGTTTCTTTTGAAAGTTGGGAAGAGATGCTGAGATAAGCAAGGCTAGCCCCTAAGGACAATAAACTTGATGGGGTGTCCCCTTGTTATTTTTTAAGGAAAAAAAAAAAAAAAGATGTTAAGGAATATTGCAAAACTCAACAGAAGTGCCTGCTCCACCTATACTTAGAAAAGCTTGAATGGATTTCCTTCCCAACACCCCCTAGCAGTGTTTGTACAAAGATAAAGACTGGTGTCTTTGAGACACTCCCTGAGATATTCTAAGGCCTTTCTTTTGGAGGGTAGGACCCTTCTTTGCTTTTGTTGGACCCACATGCATTGAAAAGTGTGTCCAGCGAACCAAGGACTCAACCAACTTTCAATTCCTTACACACACACACACACACACAAAGGAACACTCATAGCCTCTCCCCCATTGAGGTGGTAAAATTGGGGTGAACCTCCAATGCTGGGTTCACAACTGAACATCGGGGGTGACATGCTCGAGGCACAATGACTGGGTTGGGCAAGGTCTCCTGTCTGGTTAGGGACAGTGCCGGTCCTCCATTGAAGAAGGACCTTCTTTACTTCCCCAGAGAAGACAGGTTCTTGTACTTGATTTTGATAGTACCCCACCTGTCTTGTTGATTTTTAGTAGAAAGCATGGCCAGTCATGACTCTTGAGTGGAAGAAAGGTGCGAGACTATGGTACCCTGTGCTCTCCCGCTAGTGAGCAGCAGCCTACTGCTCCTCAGGACTCTAGACACAGCAAGTATGGCTTCACACTAACACATGGCCTGTGGAACTATTCACGGAAGTTGTCATCTGGCTACTTGAACATTCTGGGCTTCCAGGGCACCTACCTCACTGTTGGCACTTTCCACAAAGGAGCCCCCAAACATGGCGGCCATCCAGTCACAGCTACAGATCAGCAGTGGCTTGTGGGCACTGATGGCTCCATCATCCAATGTGAATGTCACGTCTGCCAAGGATGGAGGAAACACAACAGTAAGCCAGTTTTGCCAGGGTTTTCACCTCAGCCTTCTACTCCAAGTACATCCATCAAGGTGTATCTCTCACTCCCTCTCCAGGGCTACTGACCCGACTTCAACCCATACTTGTGACATGTCAGCTCCCACATCAAGGAATGCACCTTGAGAAATTGCACACGGGATCACAGCACAAATTCTCAGGGCCAGGAAGTAGTAGAAAGGTAAGGATTATCTTTTTGTGTTTAGATTTGAGGGTTTGTACAGCATTTGACACATTGACACATACATATGACAATCCTGGTTCCAGAAGATGAGTTTAAACACGAAATCCACATTTGTTTTGTAGATACCTTGTGTACACAGCCTGTAAGTAATTTCAACATTAGACATGGTTCATTGTTTAATTTACTGTACATTTGTTTGATCACCTTTTAAATTAACATTCATTATTGCTTTTGTACCACTGTGCCCAGTGATTGGGATAAATGCTTTTACTTTAATTTTGTCCTATCAAGACAGGCATGAAGTTTTCCGTATGCTAGCATTCAAAAAGTTGGAACTTGGAGCATTTTGGGTCTTGAATTTTCAGACTGGGGGGTGGATGTTCAGTATATACAAGGCTTGTTCATCCATCTCTTGTTACTGCATGCATGTGCCCTAGGAACCACACCCCCCCACACACACTGTGTATGTGTGTGTGTGTGTGTGTGTGTGTGTGTGTGTGTACTGATGGTAAACTTCATTTCCAATTTCTTTATCATGAAATTCCTAAGAATACATTTTAAAGAAGTGTACCATGATTGATCGTAGAAAAAAAATTAGAACAATGTTCTGATGCCATCCATTACCTAGCTCAGATGTCTCAGTCATCCCTGAGTGACATGCTAGGGCCTCTCTTTCATATAGGGGTCCTATATGGACCACCTTTCTTGCTTGGCTCTACCTGGCCAGTTACAGAGGGATTTAGTCAGCTTTGATGTTTACCAGTTCATCCAGTACAAATTTGCAACACATTCCTTTCAGTAATATCTGAGCTGCTTCCACACCATGGCAACCAATGTTTGTAGTAAATATTACCCACTCCTTGCTTTAAAATGAATAGAATGACTCAGTATCAGGTCACTGAATGTGTAGCGCCTAGGCAGGGATTATGGGAGAAAAAAAAAAAAAAAAAAAAAAAAAAAAAAAAAGGATAATAGAGGTAGCCCAGTAAACAGAACTCAGGAAGTCAACATTTTGCAGTGAAGTCTGCTTCCACCCACACACTACGTTGTGAGAGGAAGATTCTAGAATAAAAATAGTATACATGTATCAGACGGAACAAAGCAAAGGTTAGTAAATCAGACCGGATGCAGTCTCTAGAGGGTTTGCTCTTGGAAGGACACCCATGGCTTCATGTGGCATGGTTACCTGAGATGAAAGCAGAAAGATCAGGGCTCAGGAGTAAGTACAAGGGCACATACCAGGCAGGCAGCTGAGGGGGTGGGGTGGAATGGTGATGGAAGTGGTAGCCTCTGGGACTTCAGTGAGCCCAGGACCAGAGATCAGTGAGGCAGGGACAATGGAGAAGAATGGAAAAATGGATACTGGTCACAGAACAGGTCCTGTAGCAGGGCAGTTCAAGTGGCAAGCCTCTGGAGAGAGGATTGGGGTCACCCCATCTACCCTGAGCACTGGAGGTTGAGAGACTAGGTTTATGGTGGCAAAGCTTGGGTTCTTGTCCTCACTATTGCCACTTAACTGACTTCATGACCTGGCTTTTGTTTCTCAACATCTGGGTCTACCTCTTGGGTCTGATAAGGATTGGCAAAGTTAATCCTATTGTCTTCCATGGCTCCCATGCTCTGTTTAGCTAGGTGTGATGATCCCCCACCCCTAAGACCTAGCTTTACAGGTGGCTCGGATGGATGGCTCGCTTGCTCCCCTGCTCACCTGAGAAGGTGCCCTTGCTGAGACACTCTTTGATCCGGTTGGCTTTCCTGACGTGGAAGGCTTTCGTGATCTCCTGGTTCATGAAGGCTTCCTTGTTCATGATATTCTCTACCATCATCCTCAAGTCAAACATCTCCAGGACCTCGGCCATCTGAGCCAGACCCAGCAAATCTTTCTCCTTCTCGTCCAGCTGTCCAGTGTAGAGAAATCGCAGCAAGGTCCGGAAAGGGCCTGACTGCATCGACGGGTCCAGCCTGACTACAGTCACTGGGCCTTCCCGCTTAGAAATGGGGTTGACCCGCACCTCCCTGTGCATGCTGACAAACCCCTTGCTCCAGCCGGACAGGGCCTGTGCCTCAGAACCCGAGGCTTCCGTCTGCACAGCCAGGCTCTCCAGCAGGTCCTGGCCTGAAGAAGCTCCTGGGCCAGCCTGAAGGGTCCTCTGGGGGCTTTTCTTCCCTTCCTCGGATGGGTCAACACTCTGCGTCCGCCCCTGAAAATCCTTGCATGGCACCTCCTCACCAGCTCCTTCACCCCAACCGGGGAATTCTTCACACTCCATAAAAAAAAGGTCGTAGAATTTGGAAGAAGAGGTAGCGAGGTAAATGCGGTGCGCAAAGATGTGCTCCTGGCCCTGGAGAACGAAGAGGACATCGGCACAGAGAGGGTTGTCCAGTAAACAGGCGGCATCGCTTGTCCCCGTGGACGGACATTCAGGGACCTTGATGACCGGGGGAGGGGCTTTCGGAGGTAGGAAGGGCGCCTGAAGCAGAGGCTTCTGGACTTTTTTCAAGTGGGATTTCCAGAACTGCAAGTGCCGGCGGGAGATGAGGGCTGCGCGGATGGCATTGTCGAACACATCCTTGATGCCAAACTGGTCAAATACGCTGGTCTCATAGTAAGGGATGCCAAGTTCCTTTGCCACCTCTCTGCCTTTTTCTGGAGGCAAAATGTCACTTCTCTTTATGGGCCTGAAATGAGAAAAACAAAAACAACAACACAAACCAGGTATAATCAACTTTCCTTTAAGAGCAAAAAAAAAAAAAAAAAAAAAAAAAAAAAAGAAGAAGAAAAGAAAAGAAAAAAGAAAAAAAGAAAAGAAAAGAAAAGAAAAAAAAAAGAGGGGGCGGTGTCATATAAATTTCTAAATCCTTAATTGAGTCATACAATTAAAAACTATTTGCTTCTTAAACTTTTACGTTTAAAATCCTGTAGGGGTCTTGAAAACTCATCATCAATAGACATTTCAAGATAAAGGATTTATGGCTGCAGAAAGACATGTTAGTAGTAACTGTGGCAACAAAAGGATTGGCCTTTGTTCCCTATATGATCTTGAGCAAGCTGTCTAACCTCTTTAAGCCTTAGCTTTCCATCTTTGGAGAACACACAGTCCCTTAAAGAAGAGATTTAAATGAGATGATGAATATGCCTAGTTAGCATATTGGTGCTTCAGAAAAGTTATCACTGCTGTGGCTGTCTTCATCACTGCACGTTTCGTTTGTATAACTTCAGAACACTAAGAGTTCCACTAACACTAAGAATCCCATGAAGTACTATTTTCATTCTGTAGTACTATTCATTCGATCTGCCTATAGCAGGTCTTTACGCTACTAGAAACTTCTAAGTGGTGAGCGTCTGGACTTCTCTACTCTTGGTTCAGTGATCCACATCCAGAGGCTTCTAAAGTCCCTCTACTGGGTCCCTGAATCTTCAGTCACATGCGGCCCCCCTTTCCATCAGGCCCTCACCGATCTTCTCTTTGGCCTGGTATGTGAGTCTCTGTGGCACTTTGAATATAATTGGCCCCCATAATCTCATAGGGAGTGGCACTAGAAGGAGGTGTGGCTTTGTTGGAGTGGGTATGGCCTTGTTAGAAGAAGTGTGTCACTGTGGGGCTGGGCTTTGAGGTTTTCTATACTCAGAATATTGGTCAGGGTCTCATTCGACTTCCTGTTCCCTGCAGGCCAGGATGTAGCCAGCACCATATCTGCCTGCATGCTGCCATGCTCCCTGCCATGATGATAATGGACTGAACCTCTGAAACTATAAGCCACCCCAATTAAATGTTTTCTTTACAAAAGTTGCCATGATCATGATGTCTCTTCGCAGCAATAAAAACCATAACTAAGATAGCCTGTCTTCAAAATCTGCACTTATAGCTCAGAGCTCCATCACTGCAAGCGAAGTACTAAAATAGCATGGGTACGGCTGGGCCTGCAATTCTGTGTTAATTTCTCCTGCTTCCACAAAGCCAGTGGAACGAAGCCCACACCCTTTTGGTCTGGCACAGAAAACTCGTTTACAATTTAATCAAACCAGGGAAGGCCAATGTAAGCAGAGCAGTGCTGGGCTTGTGACACAACCAGGGAAAGAGTCCAGGACCGGCAAGATGTGATTTGCTACAATTCTTCAAGAAACATACCGCTTGATTCTGACAAATGCTCCTAGAAACTGATCTTAAATACTTTGCCTTTGACATCAAAAGTCTTATGCTTCCCAGGCCCTGGTCCAGGAGAATGACAAAACTGGGTGGAATTTGGATTTGAAGACCTAGAGGGAGGGAGACAGGGATGGAGGGAGGCTGGAGGGGGAGGGAGATCACACCTCAGGGTGTGGACAAAGGTAGAAAGAAATAGTGAAGGAGGTTCAACTTTAATCCTCTTCCCCTGGGCCTTGTGTGATCTTTGTCCTTGGGGCTGACTTGAAATTTGCTAATCGATTAACCCAAAGCTTAGCCCTAATGCCCTACTTCATGAAATCTCTAAGTGGCTCTGTATGAGGTTCTGTCCTGCCTGCTGCTTGGCCTGTTCCACCACCCTCTGCAGTCCACCCCCACGCCCAGGTGACTCTGAACATTCCATTTCTAGTCTATGCATGTGGGAGCAGAGGGATTGTGGAGACTGAACATGAATGCTTTCAAAGCTTTTATCCAGGATGTACTGGAAGTGCCAGAAATTGTCCCCTCATATGTTGCCACTCAACCAGCATAAAAAGTAGGACTCAAGAGAAAGCTTGTCACAAGCCAACTAGGTAAACACTGAGGCAAGGCATTGCTATCAGAGCTTTGTGGGAACTTTGCATTTCGGCAGAGAATATTGCTTTATACAAGAGTAACTTCTGAGAGCACAGGTGTGTAAAAATTCCTATCTCATTCCAAAATTGGTATCCATATTGTGCACACAGTAAAAAGACCCTTTATGTTTTCTAAATTCTGACTCTTTGTTAACCTAAGGATTAGACACATTTTAAAGAATCATGTTTGCTTTCCTTTTTAAAGATTTACTTATTTATTTTATTATACAAGAGCTCTAGCTGCATGTACAACTTTATGCCAGAAGGGGAACAACAAATCCCATTAGAGATGGTTGTGAGCCACCATGTGGTAGCTGGGAATTGAACTCCGGCCCTCTAGAAGAGCAACCAGTACTCTTGACTACTGAGCCATCTCTCCAGTCCTTGTGTTTGCTTTTTTGCAAGTACAACTCAACATGATTTTTAGGTGTTTGCTTTTGTTTTGTTTTTGAGGCAGGGTCTCTCACTGTGCAGCCCTGGCTGACCTTGAACTTTCAATGAGGATCAAGTTGCCCTCAAACTCATAGAGACATACCTGCCTCAAGTGCTGGGTTCCCAAGTGAGTGTCATCAGGCTTAGCTCTACATGGTTTTTAAAGACTGGACACTGGCCAAGGCCTAGTGGTATGGGCCTGTAATCCCAGCTGCTCAGGAGGCTTAGGAAGGAGGATCATAAGCTCAAACCCCAGCCATGCTACAGAGTAAGTCTGCCTGGCTCTAAATAAAAAGATGGTAGAATGTCTGTTCTGCCTAGAATATGGAAGGCCTTGAGCTTACTCTCCAATACTGCACAAAGCACCAGAAGACACACAATGACACCAAAACTAACCTAGTCACGTGGTTGTGGGAATAAAAACCCATGTCTGTTAGGATGTGATACTGGCCAACAACTGTGGCAGATTGTTCCGAGCCTTAGTTTATTTTATTCTAAGTAGGCATAATTTCAAGAATGATGCTACCCTGGGTGGCTAACATCTGGCATAGGACTTCATTCAAATACAGTTCTTTATCCAAAGCACTTCCATACACCTCATTTCATATTGTGGAATTCCCTTCAAGCACTGGCCAAACATTGTACAAGGCTGGATCTTGACTCTGGTGAGCCTGGGGTGGCAATCAGGACACTAGCTTCATGATGAACAGCTGACTGACTTTGCAAAAGTCTATGGGTGATAGGTGTAGTCTCAGGGGCCACTGAAAATCTGAGGCACCTATAAGCTGTTTCCTTGCTGAGGTGACAGCTGCACTTGGGGTCCTTGACTTACCTTGCTAAGGGACGTCTGGCCCGGTTAACAGCTTCCAGATCAGCATATCGGAGGTCTAGCTGGCAGCCAACCAGGACAACAGGTGTTCTAGGGCAAAAGTGCTTGATTTCTTGATACCACATGGTTTTCACATGATTTAGGGAGTTGGGATTCGCGATTGAAAAACAGAGGACCACAACATCAGACCTGGAAGGAAACCACAAATAAAGCTCACGCCACCTTTCCAAGTGTCTCCCTAGCTATCCATTATGATTCCTCTCCCCACTTATCTAACACCATCATGTCACAGTTAAAAATAATATTTTAGAACGGGCTTGATAGTAAACACATCTATGAGTCATGCAGACAGCCTGCTAAGCCCCCACATTCCATCCCCAATGCAGCCTCATGGCTCATTTTCACTTCTCACCATGGAATGTGGATGTGCCCAGGGTTCCCGTGAAGTGACTTTCCCAAGAGATGGCTACCCAGAGGAGTTCAGTCCTGGAATTCCCACATGCTGAACTATTTCTGCTCATGAGAAATAGTTGCAAGATAAAAGGAAACGACCAAGAGCACCTTTTACCCCCTCAATAGAACACAAAGGCGAAGATGTCCAACCCAATGAGAGAAAGCAAACAGCCAGTGGAGATGTCATCAGTATTTGCTGCACAGCGTCAGCAAATACAAAGAAGGATGTCTGCCCTTCTTGCTCACGCACACAGATACGAAGCACAACCCCTTATCTGCTTCCAAAGACAGAAACTCTGACTTGGCAGGAATTTGGAATTTTTTTTTTTTTTTTTTTTTTTAAAACTAGGTGTAAAGTAAGAAGATGAAGTCAATGGAGGGTTGATACAGTCAGAAAATATGGGAATCAGACCCCTCATTGTTACAGGTGATACACAACAGGTACATGGGGAAAAAAAGAGGAAAACAAGGTTTCTACTTAAATCTGATGTCGGGAGCTTCTATTTTTATAGTATAACTCACCGTTCTAGAAGTCAAAAAATTGTTGTATGAGACAGTTGCTCAAATATGGTGCTTGATGGCAGCTGGAAGGCAGGAATAATAACCTCTCTTCTAGGTTAAAATATGCCGAGTGATCATTTTTAGAACAGTCAGGCAGGGGAAGTGAGCGCCAGAATGTTTATGCTCAGGGAGTCGAGACTTTCTTGCAAATAAACTCAGCAATAAATTTGTGACTTTATGAGATGTTAATTTATTGCCTTTATTGTTTATGTAATGGGAATAATCAAGTTTATGAATCAAAAAAAACCCCTCTTCTTCTTAAATCATTAATGAGTTTTCCTTCCTACATATCAATGAAGACAAACAAATATATGCAGGCGGCCACACTGTTTCTAAAAATAGTCATCTCTGATGCAGAGTGCTGCAGGGTGCTTGCATTAAATGTAATTTTCAAGTAGAGTCTTTCCATGTATTTACAGGGGGAAAAATTGCACCAGACCACAGCAACAGAGGGGAAAGTTCTGAGTGGTTAGAGTAATCGCAATGTAAAGATATTATCAATGCTTCCTGGGTGCTGGAATAATATGTAAATAATACTTGTAAAATATGCATAGTGAAAAGGAGGCATATATTGTATTTGAGAGTCTGATTTAGTTACTAGAATGTTCTGTATTCAATCTTAACTTCTAATCAGCATAAAGAACAGTATCCAGTAACGTCAAGAATGCTTTGGATATTATTTTTTTTCAGGCTTTGTTTTCTGTTATTCATCACCCTGTTTATATTGGGTGTCTAATGAAGTATTACTATAGGCTTTGTTCTGATCATAAGATAAAGCCACCACAGAATTTTGGCATTGTGAGAATAATATGTGTGGTTCAGCATCTCAGACAATGAATTAAGCAAATCCATCCACTGTCCAACTTGAGGATTGCTTTGTGCTTGTGTGCACATGTGTGTGAAATACATATCATTTATTTGTTCTAATTGGTTCTAATCAGTTTCTATGTTAAGACATATAGCTGTGAGGAGAATCATTTTAAGAAGTTCATTTCTATAATAGACATGTAACTAAATGTCAATTCTGCCACCTAATTTTATGATGTAGCAGAGTGAGGTTTTAAAATCAGAGCTGTCTTGGTTGCCTAGGTAACTGAGATACCACTCATGACATAGAACACATGGGAGTTATTATCCAGAGGACCTGCAAGCAAGCCCAGACAGGACCTGGGAGGGGGTGATGGTAGTAGACAAGTGGAATCTTCTGATAGCAGCAGGATGCCATGACACAAGGCAGGTCCAGAAGTATCAGTGTCCTACCATGCCACTTTGGGATCTAAATGCTTCAAATCTGTGGGGAACTGGAAAAAGATCCAACATGCTGCAAATACGTTGGCTCAAAATTTAAGAGTGAGTTGAATTGAGAACAACATTATCATAGATGTTAAGATAACCCATTGAATCAGTATTTTATGTTTATCTTAGAATAACATTTTTTTTTAAAATTTTGTGTTCTTGCCAAGCTGCTAAGAGAACACTATCCCCATTACTTTAGACTGAAATCAGTTAAAAGAAAGATTATATATTAACTATTAACTTTCTTTTGTTTGAACCATGTTGATCTAGACAAGAATGTGGGAGAAGCCTGGTGTGTGCTCTTAGCAGAATTTTATCCTCGGGTTTTGCCATCTGATGTACAAATTCTAACAAAGGCTGAGAGTCAATGGACAAAGAGATGGGGCTGTAGACAGAGATGCCTGTGATGCCTCCTTCTACATACCTTTTCCTAAAAAATGCTGGTATCCTCTGTGGTCTAAACACCCATTAAAATCAAGTAACTAGAAGAGAAACAGAGGAGGAGTGGATGGAAGGATGAGAGGAGAGAAGGAAGGGTAACTGTGGTTGGGATATAAAATAAATGAATAAATTTAATTAATAAAAATAAAACCACAAATAATATTAACTGCCTCACTGAACTGTAGAAAAGAAAGAAAACTAGAAAATAGCATATAAATATTTGAACATTGAAAAAAATCAAGTAACTATTTAGAGAATTCCATTTATTCCTTCTAGACTCCAGACTTTCTTTCTACCTAGTTCAAGAAGGCAAGAGAGTCGAAGCTAAGAATATCTCCAGTTTGGGGCAGGGTTTCAAGATGTTTAGAGACATGCATTCTTGTGTGGGGACTGTTTAGTGTCTGACATAAACCTGTATTTAAAAATGTCGCTCCCAGGGAAGATAAAAGGGAGAGAGAGCAGCTTCTAGAAGTTCTGTCTCCATGGCTCTGTTACTGTTTTGTTTTGTTTCATTTTGCAGGGTGGATTTAAAATAATGGTGGACAGTGTGGGAGGGATGTTTCCATGGACTTGACAGTAAGGGTTGTCTAGCAGTCATCTCAGGCTCTATTTCAGGTATAAAAGGAATGATAAGTTTTAAATGGATTTCTATGGCTACCTGGGATAGAAAACCCGAGAATTCAAAGAACAAGCCCTGGGTAGACTGGGCTCCAAACCCCCAGAACTTGAATAGTGTGAAGGGTGCAGGAGGAGATTTGAAATGCATATTGTATTGATTATTTTAAAAAATTGATTATTTAAATAGACTTGCTTACTAGACAAAGCCAGAAACATACAGGGGCTAAGAATTCATCCTTTTGTTCATTAGCACATTGAATACTTTTTTTTTCTTAAGGGAAAAATTATTTCTTGTTCACTTGGGTGCCAAAGTATCAAATAATGTCCACAAAGTATTATATTTTGATTGGTTAACAGCAAATCGGTCTGAAATCAATGGTAGAGCAATGAGGTGTGTCTAGCATCATTGAGAGAGGCAGAGGTGGGAGAGAAGCCAAGTCACCCAAGAGAAGCCGGAGGTCAACTTTAGCTGAGTCTGTTTTTCTTTGTGTATTAAATAAACGCCAGAGGCATATTTTTTTCGGTTATCTTTTGGGGGAAACACTAGCCAAAGATAGCATGTGAAGAACTGTTAGAGCCATTCCAGTAATGCGAAATGTTCATGCCAGGCCAGGGCAAATCTTTGTTGGATCATTAAAGAAATCTGAGAAAGGCCATCCTTTCCCACATACCTTGTCTGTAGCCAGACTCAACAGCAAATAGCAGGGGCCTCATGGGCTATTTTGACAAATCCAGGCCATTGGTGGGAAGAGCCTGGAGAAGCTACCAGAAGTTTCAAGGCACCGGTTGCTAGGAATACGGTTTCTACACTCTTTCCTATCACAGAGGGCTCCCCATCTCTGCAGGGCCCATCATCCTTGCCACGGGTGTCATGCTGAGGGGCCTGTGGGCCTAGGTTTCTTTACCTTATCTGCTGAAGTGAAGAAGAAACCCTGAAATCATCTTTTATCTAAAAACCTCACATCAGACCATTTTGACAGGCAGTGCAAAAAGAAAGCATAGGCTATCTGGTTCCCAGAATGTAGGGGCAGCATGCCCTTCTCCAGAGTGCTCAGCTCAGGGGACTAACATTTGAAGCTTACAAGAAAGAAGCCCACGTGATAGTTCCCCAAGTTCCGTATGGGACTGCCTCCTTTAATTACCCATTTGTTCTCTTAAGACCTCCAATCTGTCTCCAGACCCTACAACTTTTTTAAACCATCACTGCCTACATCCACTTTAACTTTTCTAGAGGGGTGGAGGGTGGTCTTTATACAGGTAGGGATCATAGTCACATCCGAACAGGCTTCCTTTGCCAGTGTGTAGGCATCCACCTCTTGCCAAGATTCAAGCAAGGCGTTCGTTCCTGACCTCTACCCTTGGGCCTTTGAGATCCCTTTCCCTGTTGATAACTGAGGTAGGTTCTTTCCAGAAAACATTTCAAAATCATTCACATTGACCACGCACCTCTCATGCATTGTACTCTGACAGTGTTATGCACACAGACACATTGAGACAGCACAGGACAGCTGGGAGCATGGCAGAGGGTTGGAGCGAATTCATGGCTCCGAGTTTTAGTACGGGGAGCAGCCTGGGTGTATGAGATGGAGAGCGAGTTGTCAGAGATGGTGCACACGACTGGGCTGGAGATGGATGACTGGGGAAGCTCGAACTCATGGAGGATGGACAGGCCTGTTGGGGTTAGGGGGTAGGGGTGCGCCTGGTTGGGCGTTCTGGGGAGAGCAGGGCAGAACCATGCAGGGCCCCTGATGTGAGCGGAGAAATCAAGCCAATACTTTACCAAGAGCAGTGAGACTTCTTTAAGTACAGATGTTATGTGG